CGTCGAAGTATTCATTTTTGTTTATTCAGATTAGATGAGGTACTGGTTTTTCTAGTTATATGTTATAAGGTCAATGAAACTACTAATATCACTCGAAACGTTAATCCTTGGCCAAGATGAAAGTGAAAAATGTCTTTCGAATTCCGCTAAATCGCTCATAATAATTCGTAAACAATGAACTCGATTATCAAGATCTATACCTCATTCGATCCGCCATAGTTTCTTCTATCAAAATCGTAAAATATCCCATCTCACGATTTCGTCCAATTTTCACATTTTCGAATTTTTCTCGATATTTATACATCTGAGAGCAAAAGTGTCAAGAATGATTATAACCTAAACATACAGGGTGCCCATTATGTATGGAATATAGCATATATCTTGGTAAGTATCAACTTTATAAAAAAACATTTTATACAAAAGTTGTTTAATATTTTATTTGCCATNCAAATGATGTTTAACCCCGACGAAGAAGTGAATAAACTTGTCAACTCTTCATTCGTATCGTCGAAGTATTCATTTTTGTTTATTCAGATTAGATGAGGTACTGGTTTTTCTAGTTATATGTTATAAGGTCAATGAAACTACTAATATCACTCGAAAGGTTAATCCTTGGCCAACATGAAAGTGAAAAATCTTTTTCGAATTCCGCTAAATCGCTCATAATAATTCGTAAACAATGTATTCGATTATCAAGATCTATACCTCATTCGATTCGCCAGAGTTTCTTCTATCAAAATCGCAAAATATCCCATCTCACGATTTCGTCCAATTTTCACATTTTCGAATTTTTCTCGATATTTATGCATCTGAGAGCAAAAGTGTCAAGAATGATTATAACCTAAACATATAATGATTATATGTTTCACTTGACACATCTGCTACATCCCCATTCTTATTTTCTAAGTTTAAGTAATACATTAATTGTTAAAACTTTCGATATACATCAGTTTCAATACATCATTCTATTTCATTTTACAGTCCATTAATGATATATAAAAATTTGAATATAATTGAATGTAAATTTGAATGTGTTTCCTAACCTCAACCTTACGCAACGAAACTCCTGACGATGGTCTAGGCCGAAACCGGTAGAGATAATAAATTTATATAATATATTGGAGTATAAACATTGTTTATTTTTTGGTAAACCGTGATGTAAAATCACGATTTCGTCAAATTTTCATGTTTTCGAAGTTTACTTAATATTGATGTATCTGAGAGCAAAAGTGTAAAAGAGCAATATTGTAAAGATAAAGTTTACTACAACTTTTTTTAGTAAAACTTTTTTTCTAAAATGTTCTAAATTTTGTGCTTTTCCTACAAGATGCAAAATCACGATTTCGTCCAATTCTCACGTTTTCGAACTTTTCTTGATATTGATGTATCTGAGAGCAAAAGTGTAAAAGGGCAATATTGTAAAGAATAAAGTTTACTACAACTTTTTTACTAAAACTTTTTTTCTAAAACGTTCCAAATTCTGTGCTTTTCCAACGAGATGTAAAATTACGATTTCGTCCAATTTTCACATTTTCGAACTTTTCTTGATATTGATGCATCTGAGAGCAAAACTGTAAAAGAGCAATATTGTAAAGAATAAAGTTTGCTACAACTTTTGTACTAAAACTTTTTTGGTAAAACGTTCCAAATTCTGTGCTTTTCCAACAACAAGATGTAAAATCACGATTTCGTCCAATTTTCACATTTTCGAACTTTTCTTGATATTGATGCATCTGAGAGCAAAAGTGTAAAAGAGCAATATTGTAAAGAATAAAGTTTGCTACAACTTTTGTACTAAAACTTTTTTGGTAAAACGTTTTAAATTTTGTGCTTTTTCCAACAAGATACAAAATCACGATTTCGTCCAATTTTCACATTTTCGAACTTTTCTTGATATTGATGCATCTGAGAGCAAAAGTGTAAAAGAGCAATATTGTAAAGAATAAAGTTTGCTACAACTTTTGTACTAAAACTTTTTTGGTAAAACGTTTTAAATTTTGTGCTTTTTCCAACAAGATACAAAATCACGATTTCGTCCAATATTCATATTTTCGAACTTTTCTTGATATTGATGCATCTGAGAGCAAAAGTGTAAAAGAGCAATATTGTAAAGAATAAAGTTTGCTACAACTTTTGTACTAAAACTTTTTTGGTAAAACGTTTTAAATTTTGTGCTTTTTCCAACAAGATACAAAATCACGATTTCGTCCAATATTCATATTTTCGAACTTTTCTTGATATTGATGCATCTGAGAGCAAAAGTGTAAAAGAGCAATATTATAAACAATGAAGTTTGCTACAACTTTTGTACTAAAACTTTTTTGGTAAAACGTTCCAAATTTTGTGCTTTTCCAACAACAAGATGTAAAATCACGATTTCGTCCAATTTTCACGTTTTCGAACTTTTCTTGATATTGACGCATCTGAGAGCAAAAGTGTAAAAGAGCAATATTATAAAGAATAAAGTTTGCTACAACTTTTGTACTAAAACTTTTTTGGTAAAACGTTCCAAATTTTGTGCTTTTCCAACAACAAGATGTAAAATCACGATTTCGTCCATATTTCACGTTTTCGAACTTTTCTTGATATTGACGCATCTGAGAGCAAAAGTGTAAAAGAGCAATATTATAAAGANTATTCTCGTTTTCTAAGTTTAGTCCATTAATGATATATCAAAATTTGAATATAATTGAATGTAAATTTGAATGTGTTTCCTAACCTCAACCTTATACAACGAGACTCCTGACGATGGTCTAGGCCGAAACCGGTAGAGTTAATAAACTTATATAATATATTGGAGTATAAACATTGTTTATTTTTTGGTAAACCGTGATGTAAAATCACGATTTCGTCAAATTTTCGTGTTTTCGAAGTTTACTTAATATTGATGTATCTGAGAGCAAAAGTGTAAAAGAGCAATATTGTAAAGATAAAGTTTACTACAACTTTTTTTAGTAAAACTTTTTTTCTAAAATGTTCTAAATTTTGTGCTTTTCCAACAAGATGCAAAATCACAATTTCGTCCAATTTTCATGTTTTCGAACTTTTCTTGATATTGATGCATCTGAGAGCAAAAGTGTAAAAGAGCAATATTGTAAAGAATGAAGTTTGCTACAACTTTTGTACTAAAACTTTTTTTGGTAAAACGTCCCAAATTCTGTGCTTTTCCAACAACAAGATGCAAAATCACGATTTCGTCCAATTTTCACGTTTTCGAACTTTTCTTGATATTTATGCATCTGAGAGCAAAAGTGTAAAAGAGCAATATTGTAAAGAATGAAGTTTGCTACAACTTTTGTACTAAAACTTTTTTGGTAAAACGTTCCAAATTCTATGCTATTCCAACAACAAGATGTAAAATCACGATTTCGTCCAATTTTCGCCTTTTCGAACTTTTCTTGATATTGACGCATTTGAGAGCAAAAGTGTAAAAGAGCAATATTACTAAGAATAGAATTTGCTACAACTTTTGTACTAAAACTTTTTTTCTAAAACGTTCTGAATTCTGTGCTTTTCCAACAACAAGATGTAAAATCACGATTTCGTCCAATTTTCACATTTTCGAACTTTTCTTGATATTGATGCATCTAAGAGCAAATGTATAAACGGGCAATGTTGTAAAGAATAAAGTTTGCTACAACTTTTGTACTAAAACTTTTTTGGTAAAACGTTCCAAATTCTGTGCTTTTTCAACAAGAAGATGTAAAATCACGATTTCGTCAAATTTTGACATTTTCGAACTTTTCTTGATATTGATGCATCTAAGAGCAAAAGTGTAAAAGGGCAATATTGTAAAGAATAAAGTTTGTTACAGCTTTTGTACTAAAACTTTTTTGGTAAAACGTTCCAAATTCTGTGCTTTTCCAACAACAAAATGTAAAATCACGATTTCGTCCAATTTTCGCCTTTTCGAACTTTTCTTGATATTGATGCATCTGAGAGCAAAAGTGTAAAAGGGCAATATTGCAAAGAATAAAGTTTGCTACAACTTTTATATTACAACTTTTTTTCTAAAACGTTCCAAATTCTGTGCTTTTCCAACAAGATGTAAAATTACGATTTCGTCCAATATTCATGTTTTCGAACTTTTCTTGATATTGATGCATCTGAGAGCAAAAGTGTAAAAGAGCAGTATTATAAACAATGAAGTTTGCTACAATTTTTGTACTAAAACTTTTTTGGTAAAACGTTCCAAATTTTGTGCTTTTCCAACAACAAGATGTAAAATCACGATTTCGTCCAATTTTCACATTTTCGAACTTTTCTTGATATTGATGCATCTAAGAGCAAATGTGTAAACGGGCAATATTGTAAAGAATAAAGTTTGCTACAAGTTTTGTACTGAAACTTTTTTGCTAAAACATTCCAAACAAACTGATCTTCTTGTGGATATATAAGAATATGATAAGCTTGAGCAGTGTGTAAGTTGTGTAAGAGCAAAAGTGTAATATTATTAAGAATACAATTTGCTACAAGTTTTATATTAAAACTTTTTTTCTAAAACGTTTCGAATTCTGTGCTTTTCCAACAAGATGTAAAATCACGATTTCGTCAAATTTTCAAGTTTTCGAACTTTTCTTGATATTGGTGCATTTAAGAGCAAAACTGTAAAGGGGCAATATTGTAAAGAATAAAATTTGCTATACTAATTTTTTTTTTCTAAATTGTTCCAAATCCCGCGCTTAGATTAATTAAATTAATTTTTTCTAATTGTCCAAAATTACATTACTTCAAATGTTAAATATCATTTTAAAGAGAAAACTAGAAGCTTTAATTCGATATAATAATAATTTTTTAATCCCCATAAATAAATAGGTTTAAATGGGTTAAAGTTTCGTTTAATTTAATTAAAACTTTTGGAACCTCCCAAAAATCTCCAACATCCATCCCGATTGGTTTCGTTCATCTTCATTCCTACTCAACAAAAAATTCATTTCATTTTTAAACTCCCTCGCACGTCTCATCCAAAACAACCTCGTTTCTCAAAACGGTCCAGTTCACATTCGAACCCACCACAATGCACTTCGCAAACGTTTCTCTAACTCCAGTAAAAATGGAACGGGACCATTACGTGCCATCAAGTCCAATTATCCATCAAAACTATCAAAATCAATTTTATTCGAGACCTCCAGGATGTTTTTTCCAAGAAAATCGAGAATTTTATGACTTTCAAGACAACGGGATATTTTATCATCATAAAACGGCGATGTCGAGAGGGTTTGAAGAAATTTTTAATGGGGAAAGAACCGAATTTGAACAGAATTGTAATTATTGGATTCCAAGATGTTCGGATGCGTGCTGGTTTGGGGGTGGTGATTTAAAAAGTGCTAGTTTTAATAATTTCGTTGAAGAAAGAAATTTACGATTTGATGATGAAGAAGATAAAGCCGAAACTAAAAAGAATGATGAAGAAGAAATTTTAAATAATTTAATAGGTTCGAAAAATAAAATTTTTAACACTAACAATAAAAATTTCTTACATTAATAAGAACCAATAAAATTTTTGCGTTTTATGCATGCAGATGTAGTACAAATGTTTAGAAATTAACGACTCGAAAGATGATTCCTCATCTATTTTAAATTCTTTTTTTATTAATCCACTAGTAAATTAACCCATATTCTAACGATGACATACATCTTAGCTCATCTGTAAGATTAAACTTTGATAACCCTCCTTAAATACAAAAAAAAATCTTCAATTACGATTCGAGATTTAATTCGCGGTAGTCTTTGATGTAGATTACAAAATATGTCTCATAAACGTCTCGTTTTAAAATTTTAAACAAATTTTATTACGATTTTAACTGTAATTAATTATGAAATGATAACATTTAGATGAAAAATCGATCGAAACGACATCAACATCAACAACAAAACCGCGTAAAGAAAGAACAGCGTTTACAAAACATCAAATAAAAGAGTTGGAGGATGAATTTAACCACTCGAATTATTTAACACGATTGAGGCGCTACGAGATCGCCGTCGCGTTGGATTTAACAGAACGACAAGTTAAAGTTTGGTTTCAAAATAGGAGGATGAAGTGGAAACGGACGAAATGTGGAGGCGAAAGAAGTGGAAAGAAAGAGGAGAAATGTAAAATTAAGTCTTAGGGAATTAAACGATTGAGATGTTTTATTGATTTTATTAGTTTATAATTGTATCTATGTATTATTAAGTACTTAATGCGTTTTTTTTTAAATAAAGTTTGATTTTGATATCATCTAATTTATTTATGCGGATTAAAAAATGAATTTTAACCCAAATTAAAGCTTAAAGTTTTCTCTTTAAAATTAATATATGTATACTTAGAAAGTTTATTTAGAAAATATTCCAGAAAATTTTTTGTACGAAATGATGTACAGTGTGTTAATTAATTATCGTACCCTCAGTCATCATTGCAAGTATGCAACCAATATCACAGTATTGGTATTGCAATACGCAAATCGCGTTCTAGTGTAAAACTAGAACTAACACAAGATCTAGAACTAGAATCATTCGGCTTTAGTCGTCTTGAGAGACGTGAGACTAAATCCGAATGTTTCTAGTTCTCGGTCTAGTGTTAGTTCTAGTGTTGGTAGCGCTAGTTAGCATGAGATATCACTATGTTGTATATTTTTATTGAACTAAAACTAGAAACATTTGGATTTAGTCGTGAAAAAAACTTTCAGTAGTCTATGTCAACCTTAATTTTATTATTATATTCGTAATCTTCATAAAATAACTTTTAAAATGAGTCCAAACTTGACGTATTTATTTCAAAAAATCAAAAAATTTGAACTTTCAACTTTTAATTTTGACATATTTGTCAACTTCATAAAAAATCCTTTAAAATAAGTCCAAACTCGACATATCTAACTTTAATATTAACGAAAATACAATCACTTCCGGTTTGAAACGTCAATTTTGATATATTTGTCATCTTCATTACAAAAACTTTAAAATGAGTCGAAACTTGACGTATTTATCTCAAAAACTTTGAACTTTCAACTTTTAATTTTGACATATTTGTCAACTTCATAAAAAATCCTTTAAAATAAATCCAAACTCGACATATCTAACTTTAATATTAACGGAAATACAATCACTTCCGGTTTGAAACGTCAACGTCAATTTTGATATATTTGTCATCTTTATTACAAAACCTTTAAAATGAGTCCAAACTTGACGTATTTATCTCAAAAAACATTAAACCCGAAGTTAGCAACAATGAAAATAGCAATTTAATTTTTAAATATTAATACCAACCTTAATTTTTTATTATATTTTTGTTCTTGTGACAAATATTAAGACATTTTATAAAAATTAAGAATATGTCAAAATGACATTGACGTTTCAAATCGGAAGTGGCTTATATCTCGAGTAATATTGGAATTAAACGTATCATGTTTGGACTCATTTTAAAGGATTTTTCACGACGATTACAAATATGTCAAAATTGACATTGACATTCTTAACCGGAAGTTGACCATAACTTCATTAATATTGAAGATAAATATGTCGTGTTTGTACTCATTTTAAAGGATTTTTAATAAAGATTATAAATATGTCAAAACTGAGGTTGACAATTTAAACCTGAAGTTAGTTATCATATAATAGAAGTTTTATAACTGAAGTTAATCTAGTGTTAGTCACTTTTTAGCACTTCCTTTTTATTTTTAACGTGTTTTTTGGATCCCGTTTTTCTCAACAATGTTCATTTGTCGCTTAGTCAAGTGATTCATGCAATCAATATCACAAAACGCGTATTAAAATACCAATACTGTGATATTAGTATCATGTTTGGACTCATTTTAAAGGATTTTTCACGACAATTACAAATATGTCAAAATTGACATTGACATTCTTAACCGGAAGTTGACCATAACTTCATTAATATTGAAGATAAATATGTCGTGTTTGTACTCATTTTAAAGGATTTTTAATGAAGATTACAAATATGTCAAAATTGAGGTTGACAATTTAAACCTGAAGTTAGTTATCATATAAAGAAGTTTTATAACTGAAGTTAATCTAGTGTTAGTCACTTTTTAGCACTTCCTTTTTATTTTCAAGTGATTCATAACGCGATGATTGCAAGTATGCAACCAATATCACAAAACGCGTATTAAAATACCAATACTGTGATATTGGTTGCATACTTGCAATGATGACATCGGGTACGATAATTAATAAACACACTATATTTGGTCTTAACCTAATCAAATTGTTCTAATTGTTTCTTAATAAACCTTCCAACAATTTCTTGCGGGTAATTTTCGAATTCGGAAAGTTTTGATTTTGGAGTTATCACCTTAAAAAGAAAATGAATTAATCCCAAAAGCAAATGATTTAGACCTTTTTACCTGATCCCCTTTTAATCGATCGATTAAAGTAACGCAAACATCGGCGGCTTTAATTCCCGCGTAATGGGTGTAGGCAAAAAATGGAACTGATTCCATTTCGATGTTTCTAACTCCACCCTCATATAATTTTTTTAAATAATCTAACTTTTCAGTTTCGGTTATTCCGCAAAAAGCCCCATCCAAGCGTCCTTGTTCTTCATAAAAATCCGTAGCAGCCATCGTTTTTCCAGTTATAACTTTGAAATGATCCGATGGTGTTACAACGCTTTTAAGATTTTCGATCAAATCAAAATCGGTTCTGCAAAGTTTTTGGGATAATTTCCCAGCGATTGGCTAAAAAGTGAGAATCATTTATTTTTTGTAATCTTAATTTGAAACTTACAATTTCATAACAATCTCTTAATCTCGCATCAACACCTCCACTACTAACAACAACCGTTCCAGGTTCAACTCCAATTCCACCCGAAGTACCTAATCTAATAAAAATCGGATCTTTACACTTTGCGTGAAACATCAACTTGATTACTTCGTGCAAAAGAATCGTACAAGACGAGTACCCCATTCCATGCTAAAATTTATGATTACACAAGAAGAAATTAAGAAAAAACAAACTTACGTTTACTGCGATAACAGGACCAACTTTAAACATACTATAACGTTTTGCACAACCGGTTAAATCGATCAATTCGTCGTTTCTATCTAAAATTTTAATCAAATGCCTCGCGAACGCTTCCATTCGATGTGGAGTTCCACCCATACAAACGAATTTAACATCTCCAAACATTTCTTGGAGATTATTCGACGACGTTCCTAATCCTAAGTGGTAAAGAAAATCGTTGGTGGATGAAGAAATGTTTTTGTTGCGAAGCATAATCGTTCCATCTAAATTACTTAAATTAAAACAAAAAAATAATTAAAAAAAAGTAATATTTAAAAAACGTTTTTTTTTACCGTGTTATTGAGCATAAAGGACACTTTTCCATTGATTTATCTTTGATGATATTATAATGTGGACCGTAATTCCATCTTTTACATTCACAAAAAACATTTTCTTCCATTATTATAAAAAATACCGAATAATAATAATATATAAATGTATAGAGGAGTATGGTTGGAAATGCAGTGAGCTCATCAATTTGATATCAACTACTATATAGAGAAGATAATGTTTAGAGTGCTATTTATATAAGTGCTATTTTCTTGATTAGATAAGTTGATGATAAAGCATATGCGAAACAACTATGTATAGAAAAATAAAGTGTTTCAAATGAAAACTTTAACTATTCAGTAATACTTCTTCTTCTCTGGCTCTACAGCCCTGGGCTGCCTTAGGATATTTTTCCAGTCTTCCTTGTCTCTCGCCCTTCTTTATTTATTTATTACTATCTCAGTTTCAAACATGTTACTTTGGATGTTATATTGAAAGGCAGATCATTGATATAGATAATGAACAGTCTGACCCTTGTGGTACTCCGTTCATGGGAACCCTTATTGAGGATCTAAAAAACATACGTAAGACAAAAAGAGAGTCTTGGAGGAGGTTCTGTGAGGGAGTGAAAGACACACCTAGCAGTGCAAGAATTCACAAGATTCTCGCTAGAGCTTGTTAGAGCTTCTCATGCAGATTCACTTCCTAGGAAGCTTGATGATGAGGACTGATAATGCTATTTAAACGTTTAAGCCGTAGAAGACAAAATCTTTCCTGCTTTGTTACAGCAAGGAAGGTCACTGTTGTTGCCAATTTTGGTAAACATTTTCAGAGTGAGTGTCGCCTGGAAATATGTACCGGCAGAATGGACCAAAGTTTAATGCCTTTTGACCCATCAGCCTAACGTCATTTCTGTTGAAAAAAAAACCCTTGAAAAAGTTCTGGAACGGGATATCTGTACGGTACCATTGGTATCTGGTCCACTGAGTCGCCACCAGTATGCTTATCAAGCGGGAAAATCAGCAGAATTGGTTCTACACAACTTAGTTGGTAGAGTATCCAGGACGCTGCAGGATAAAGAAATCGTGGTTTGTGCGTTTCTGGATATAGGAGGGTTCAACAACGCAATACCACAATCTCTTGAAAGAGCTGCTCTTGACAGGGAAGTGGAAGCAACTATAGCGGGTTGGATCCGCAATATGCTTGATAGTAGAATAGTTTCTACTTCATCCATGATGACACGATACGTTTCAGGCCGGGAGGTGGCTGCCCGCAGGGAGGGGTGTTATCTCCCCTGCTTTGGTCCCTCCTGGTTGACGATCTAATTGCGATAGTCGAATAAATACAAGCTTATGCTGATGACATTGTCGTTATGGTCAAAAGAACCTGTTTGTCGAGGATATCTAAAGTCCTCCAGGTGACCCTAGATACCATTTACGCTTGGTGTAAGGGAGAGAACCTATCGATAAACCAGCAAAAGACAATTGTTGTGTTCTTCACCAGGAAATGAATGTTGGATGGACTAATCCGCCCGACTATCCAAGGTGAAGAAATTCCTTTCTCAAAGGAAGTTAAATATCTTGTCATAAAACCTGGTCATGGAATGGACATTCCATCCTTGTGGACTTGGAAAAAATTGGGGTCTTACCCCTGAAAAACTGTATGTACTGGCTTTATGTAACTGTGGTTAGACCTATGATCACATAGGGAGCAGCAGCCTGGTATAGGAAAGTCCGACAGACTTCAGTTATCAGTAAACGTTCACGAATTCAACGGGTAGCTGGATTGGCAATCTCTGGTGCGATAAGCACAACGCCAACTCTAGCAATGGAGGTTCTGCTTGGCCTATCTCCTCTACATTTGTGTGGCTAGAACAACCATTTACAAATGTAAGCAATATGGTCAAAACTGTTGCGACATGTCCTACCAATGGGCTGCGGAAGACATTATAAGCACTGATACTGTGCTATCAATGCCGTCAGATTTAGCGGGATCACTATCCGTGATTAATGTTCGATACCAGATTTTCTGGTTCAGGAAGATATTTGCATATTCACAGATGGATCAAAAACGCCGGAAGGGGTCGGAGCAGGAGTATACTGCCAGACACCTCGAATTAAGTAAGCCTACAGCCTGGGCACATACTGTACTGCGTTCCAGACGGAAGTATTTGCTATTGACATGGGTGCTAAAATTGTTTTTGAGAGAAGGGTGAAGAACATGACGAATTTTCTCAGATAGTCAAGCCGGCTCTGGTTAATGACTGCAAGAAAACATTAAACACACTGAGTTGTTATAACAGAGTTTCTCTGATCTGGGTCCCGGGTCACTCTGGGGTTGCTGGCAATCAAGCGGCAGATAAGCTAACACAAGAGGGCAGTGTTAAAGCATTTGTGGGACCGGACCAGCAGTTCGTTTATCATTCGCGATGGCCAAATATGGAATTGGACTGTGGACTGAAGAAAGACTTTGCGTACTGTGGTCCAGTTCTCTTGGAATGAGACATGAACTTTTTAGGACTTGCCCATAGCAGCATAAAAGTTCTCATGGGTGTCTTTACTGGGTATTGCCGATTAAAAGCACACCTCAACTTGTTGAGATTAGCCGACGATGTTGAATGCCGACTATGTGCGGAGGAAGACGGTTGAGCATATTTTATGCCACTGTCCTGCTGTTAACCGTATCAGATTCTCGATTTTTTGGTCACAGTTTATCTCCTCAAAGGATCTGAATGACCTTTCACCCAAAAAGGTATTAACGTTCGTTAAGAGCATTGGACTGCACGGTGAAATTTGATAACGATATCTATCGGGGTACAATAGATCCTTAGGGTCGCCGTGCAAGGTTGGTTGGTCGGCCTACCCGATATGTAGTCTATTTAATGTAATGTATTGACAGTGATGGGCGCTGGGTAAATATTCGGCGGGTAGGTATTTCTAAAATGGGTATTTATCCGGGTATTTACCCCGGCCCAGGGTAAATACCCAAACAGTGGGTATAAAAGTGATACAAGTAAAAATATATCAGATTCCAAAAAAAAATGAAGAGGATGATGATAAGGACGTTGAAGATGAGGAATTGTCAACAATTCAAGACGTATTATTATCATTATTATTAATTTATAAGTTATTATGATTATTACCATCAAGCAGCCCTCTGCGTCCATTGTTGGACATAGACCTCCCCTATTCTGTTCCATTCGATTCTATTCTATGCCGTCTGAATCCAATTGTTGGTCATTCTTTAGACGTCTACTTCGTTTGTTCGCTCGCGGTCTCCACTCAACGAACCGTTTTGCCCACTTTGCGCGACAGTTCCATTTAAGCTTTGCCACAATTTTGACCACATCATTTACGCCGGTTCTTCTTCATAGGTCTTCATTTCGAATGTAGTCCCTCAGAATTAGACCCAGGATCGACCTCTCCATCTATCTTTGCATTACTTGGACCCTCTTGGCAGTGACTATCGTTAATGTTAACCTTTTCTCTTGAAGATGTCTCTAAGTTTCCCATACGAGTGTGATCGTTCTGTTTAGTTCGCTTGTTTGATTATCTCTCGATACACGAACCTCATAGCCAAGATATACATAGCTGTCAACCCTCTCAATCTCATTATTCACAATGTTGATGTTAGAGCTGGGAACAAGATTGATCATAAATTTTGATTTCTCCTCGTTGATATTTAGCCCGACTCTTGCACACACCTCCTTTAAGTCGTTCAACATTAGTTTAATCTCTCCAACGCTATACGATATAAGAACTACATCGGCGGCGTAGCGCAAATTATATAAGCATTTGCAATTAATGTTTATGCCTTTTTGGGTCCAATCCAGTTGTTTAAATGCACTCTGAGGACTGTGAGGAACAATTTGGGTTCAACATCAATACTTTACTACTTCTACTCTCTTCAGTACTTTCATGTAATTTTTCCGTCATTGTAGCATTCTTGAAGTGCTTGCAAAACTGCCATCAACTCAATTTAAATTAAATTTTATAAATACCTCTAAATACCCATCTTGGGTAAATACCCCCGGGTATATATCTAGGAAATTTACCCTTGAAAATAAATACCCAGGTATTTAACAACACTGTGTATTGAGGATCTATCCTTCACTTCCACCAGCTGCTGTCTCTCTTTCAAGTAGGATGTTAATAGTTTGTGTGAGATACCCCTAATGCCATAATAGCACAACTTTTGTAGTAGTATATTGTACTACTATATTGTCCTTTATTCCATTATATGTTTTATGTTTTCTTTCTTTGTTTATTAAATGTCATATTGCCTTTTGTTTGTTCTCGGCATGACCAATGAACTTTTCGTTTGCTTTTTTCTTCGCTTTTCCTTTTTATATTTTCTGTATGCTTGATATGATTCTTCATTTCGGTTAAGTAGCGCTATGGTATACAGTGCGCGGCAAAATTATGGAACATATTCAATAAATTGATAAGAAATTTTTTTTTGCAAAAATGGCGAAACGGGTCAATTTTGGTTAATCATAACACACATTATGACACCATATTCACTTCCTGATAGTTATTTTTTTATGAGTTATGACGCCATCGACATTTTTTTTAAATGGCACCATATGCATTTGTTTACAGAATCTGAAAGTATATTTTTTTCTGCGACCAACGATGTAAATATCGATATGGGTTACATAAGGAAAGTTTTGAAAAAATTAGCTTTAAAGGTACAAATTTTATTCTTTTTGTGAACGTAAAAATAGCATTACCCATGGGTAACCATGGAAACGCTTTGTTTGGTTTTAATAATGTCTATTCAAAAACGTCAAAATTAGTTTAGTGAGTGTTTAATTGAATTGAAACAATTTTTGTGTTGTTTTCTGTGTTGTAATTGTTTGTTTGTATTTTTTTTCTGTTTTATGTTGTTTAGTTTTGTATTAGTTATTTTACAAATTTTATTTTATTTCGAACAAAAAAATAGTATTACCTATGCGTAACCATGTACGTTGTCATGGTTCTTTAATTTTTTATTCTCTATTAAAAAAACACTAATAATTTAAGTTTTAATGTGCAAGGTTTTAAGTTTTAATATTTAAAGTTATTTAATGTCCGTAGAGTATGAATTATGTTATAAAAACGAAACAAATTCTGATTCTAATCATTTAATAAATTGTTCGAAATGCCCTCCACCCACTTCTTGACAATAAGCAAACCTATTCATACATTCTTTCAAAGTATTACAAATAAATTGCGGACTAATATTACGAATTTCAGCGCTAATACAATTTTTTAATGCGTCTACATTGAGTGGTTTCTCAGCGTACACTTTTGATTTTCATTAACCCCAAAAAA